AATATTTTATTTGCTCTATTTTCTATAACTAAAATAATTTGTATAACTAAACCTACCACTTCATCCCATATTCAGATATCAAATTTAATATAAATATTTATATAGTGAAAACTATAAAATGAAAGTTTTCAATTTCATTTCAAATTTTTGATATGCGTATGAATAACTAAATGTTATGTCATTTCAAACAAAATTTGTAAACCTAAACAACAAAATCGTTTGTTTACTTAAATATTTATATATTTACTTTTAAACTTCAGAACTAATAATCAAAAATGAATTTTATGATTTCAATATTAACATTTTGTTGTGTATTTTGCGAATATTAGTATAGAATAAATTTTAATTTCGTTTTAAAATGTTATTATATATTATTAAATAAAATTTTATTAAGCTTGACCTATTTATAATTTTGGTCTGACTAGAAAATAAAGTTAAATCGTACCTTTACATAATTATCAAATTGTACATTGTACACTGTAAATATGCCTTGTTGTGATTTTTAATTCTAGTTAAATATAAAAGTAAATTAATTTATTTTAATGAGTGATGAAGAATTTTGGAGCCATAATTTTATTTAATATTTTAAATGAAAGCTTTAAGAAATCTGATAATACGATTGCCTTTTTTATGGAATATTGAATCCAATTATACTTTGCAGTCATATATCAAAACTCCTACATCAATAATTTTGCCTCATGAAATATAAGAAATTATATTCATTATTTTTATATTTAAATTATTGACGGTATTTTCAAATCTGTTCGTTTCAATTCAAATTTTTTTTTTTCAACAATAAACACTAAATCTTATGATTTTACTCTTCCAAAATACTTTAAGTAGTTGCATACATCAAATTCTCAAGTTTTCTTTTAAGTCTGTAAGCATAATACAGTGTATCCTGTATCTTTAGTATAAAATCCAATAATCTCCGTTCTTTACAATGTTTGCTATTTTTGTAAATGCTATGAGTAGAAATTTGTAATTTGTTAATGAATTTAGCCAATCGCAATGACAATCTTAATACCATTCAACAATATTTTTAATTTTCGACAATATTCATATTAGAATAGGTGCTTCTGTTTATTTTTTATATTTGCACCAAATAACCAAATGCATAGATCTCGAAAACTTTTACTTATTATACATTCATTTTATAAATAATTAATATATTATATGTGAAACACAATGTTAAACAATATTATTGAATCTGGTGCATACTTTGAATTCTATAATAATCATGATCTACTTTTAATTTTAATCTAACCTTAGATTGAAGCATGAATTTTCATTTTGCTATTTGTTCTATCGTAAATTTATTTCTGAATTTAACCGTATTTGTCTGCTTTTAGTGATTTTCATTAAATATAATTTGCAATTTTAATTATTTGTTTTGAACTTGTCATTAGTTTTTTAAATATTTCAACTATTTGCATATAGAGAAAATCTGAACGTAAAAACTTTTCTCTTTGCATCTTTTTTTAGCAAATCGGTTGTCATAATGCATTTCGTTTTGCAACAAAATATTTTTTATTAAAGTAATAATTTGATTTGGCTGGTTTTTGGTCTTACTATTTTATTTTACGATTCCACATTGGTAATAATGAATTAACTAATAAATTTGTTTTATGAGACCTGATTTCAATTATATCAGTCGTTTTATTAAATACATATATTTGTGTATCTGTATTAACAATCTATATAAAATTAATATGTGAATAATGCTCTTTTACACACTTATGCTTATACTCCTTTTTTCAACTACAAAATACTTTTTAGTGATTATATTCTAACTGTATTAGCCTTACAATTTTTGGCTACGACTTTACTTAATACTTATAATATTATAAGTGCACTTATAAACTCATTTTCATCTGTTGAAATATATCTTTTTTATTTAAAACTTGTTGTTGAATTTGTTGAAGAATTTCACGTATCTTTGCAAGTATTTCCACAAAAGCGTCTTAATATTTTCATATATTTATTTTATTATTATTAAATTGGATGTAATAATTTTATCTCATTTGATTACTTACATGATCAGTCCAAATCCGACTGGACTTTTGAAAATACTCAATTTCTTTGCAAGGCCCTCTAAATTTATGTAAAAATCATATTAGGAAACTTCTTTATCAAACATTTTAACATCTGTAAACTAATTGTATAATATTTTTTCGGCTTTTTTATCATTTTTACTGAGTTATTCTAAAAAATTTATTTTAATGGAGTTGACTATCTTCTGAAAAATATACCCAAAAATCAAATTGGAAGTTGTCTGTTATTATTGATACAATTATTGTTATCATTTTCATGTCAGCTCGTTTTTACCAGAAATTTGAGTATTTTTTTATGAAATTCGATTTGGAATATTCAACAAATTGTTCCTTTTTTGCTATATTGTAAAAGTAACGATTATTTTATTCATCTCTTAAATTAATTCTCAATGAGTTTTGCTTATCTATTTAAAATTATGGGCTTCTAATATATTTCGAACTATTTTTTGTGTTATAAACTTTGAACAATTCTTTATAAATTCATTTTCAATTGTATAAAAATGTGTTTTTAATATTTTCAACCGCTAAATTAATAATTCTACTTCTTTACACATATCGCAATTATAATAATACATTGTTAATCCTGATCAACTTTTAACTTAATGTAAAATCGATATTATATACGTATACATGCACAATAATTGTTCATGTCTGAATATTTATCTATTTAATTTTTGATGGACAATTATTTCACCAATAATTACATTTTCTATATTTTTCTAAACTTCGGTTTGCATTTCTATTCTTGTATTTTGTTGATTTATTTTGCAATTCAAAAAGCAAATCGATTTTCATATTCATTTAAATTTGATAATATTTTATATCAAGATTTCTTTTTATGCTTTCAATATATTCTATTATGCATTTAACTTTTGTCATTTGACTTATTTTTGATATGTGATATTTTTTAAAAAAATACTTTTATAACATTTTCCGATACGTATAAAACTTTAAAAAATAACATTTTCGTATTGCATATACAATTGATATGAATTATAATAACAAATTTGAATTCACTTTTAATATATTTCCGATGTGCCTATAATATTTTTAAATGTTTTATCATATTCGTATATCGTATTTTATGTATCATATAATTTTTTCATAAATTTATAAAATTATTTTGCTGATAAATTTGAAAAACTATTTTGACTACATTTTTGCCACGAACTATAAATACTCCTCTAGGTATATCTCCATATTCTTTTCCTACATGAATTTTGTTCTAAATAATCCTGATCGAAATTCTATAGTTCGATGAAGAAGTAAATTAGCAAATTGATCTACGCTCCTCAAGTATCCAATCAATGTTTATCCGTCTCTAAGTAGAACCATGAGCTTTTTATCAAGTTCTATGAGCTTT